AATATTAATAAGATATTTTTTTACTAAAATTTTTCTTAAATTCTACTCTACAAAATAGCTATCTTAGATTTTTTTTTTACATTTTATTTAAAATTTAAAAATAATTAATATTTTTAATAAAATGTAAAAAAATTAATTATTGAGATATAGCTATAGACCTAACGTATAACTATTATTTAAAAAAAAAATCAACTAAAAATAATAACTGGATCAAAAGTTATTTAAGTTGTCAGTGAGTGGTGGGCCACTCTGTATAGATAAATTTTAAATTATAATTTACACTGGTGTATATGTTAAAAATCCGTGGATCTTTTATTATTAATAAATAACAACAGATAATTTAAAAAACAAAACCGAAAAGACTAACGCAATTAATTATAATGTTCGCATAATATCGAGGCACTTTCGATGTTGTCGGCGACGCGGTGTCTGACATGGTCCTCGGACATCAAAACTAGCAACGTTGATAGCGATGGTGCCTTCAATAATTGATAAAGTTTCCATCGTTCTTCGTAAATGGGGGATATCCCCAAAAAATTTACAAATTTAAAAATCGGTAATTTTCGTCATTTTGTCAGCTTTTTTTCTTAGAAATGCCATAATTTGGGGATTCCAAATGATAACTTTCCAAAAAAAACTTAAACTAAACTGTATAATACTTCGACAACAGGTACATCTATATATTTTGAATAAAAACGACCGAACAACCCGTGCCGCTGATAAGGCGTCCTAACAGCTGATAGCGCACAAACACTACCAGCTGACCACACCCAACCAGTGCAACTCTCACACTTGGCGCGAACAATTATATTAATCTAATTGACATAGCATAGAAAGTCAAACTTATTTAATTATATTTGCTATTTTTAATTCGAGAAAAATAACTTCGAACTAGCTTGAATCGCTAATTTTTANTTTTTAATTCGAGAAAAATAACTTCGAACTAGCTTGAATCGCTAATTTTTATCCACCAATCAATAGCAACGTACGGTTTCCGAGTTAGTAACATTTGTGTCTTCAACGCTTGAGGACCAAGTTCAAACCCGCCCATGGCAAAGTAGAAATTTATTATTCATATTAAAATTATTTTACTATGTGGTTTTTTTTTTTTGTGATTATCATTTATTTTCTCAGCTATCATTTGACCAAATTTTTAGCGATACGTCAAATTATCACAATTATTATCTAGCTAAAGATATTACCTTCCAATGTTGAAAAAAAGTCCCTTTTATCAAATATCAAAATTGTTCTACCAGCTATCTCCATACAGACAATTAAAATCATTAGTTTATAATATTTTTAAAGTATTCATTGCCAAATTAGGTTTGATATAATAATAGGTTTCTACTACAAAATTAAATAATTATATAATTAAATAATTTACTTAGAAATTTATTATTTTTTTAACTCTATTTGTGTGTTATACTATCAGTATATAATATTCCAAATTTTGTTGTAACATAATTCTATATAAATCATTTCTAAAAAAATTGGTTTTTAATTTCACCGGAATGTAATAATCGATTTTTACTTTTATAATGAAATTTTATAATATGCTCAATTAAGTAGATTTTTTTAAAAACTACTATATTAAATTATTGAATATTAATTTCATACTATATTTAATTACTATAATTTGTATTTATTCATATACTATACTTTTAAATCATAGAACAACCTATCAGTATATAAATAAGGAAATAGGAGTTATTGTTGGTTTTGTAATTATCCACCAATTTCTTAGAATTGAACACTATCTACAGATTTGCCCCAAAGCGTTTCTTATGATAGTGATTTTANCAGATTTGCCCCAAAGCGTTTCTTATGATAGTGATTTTAATTATTGTCAGATATCATCTATACTTGTCCCAACTATGCCACGGCAATACTGTACCGCGACCCCATTGTGCTACAGTTTTTAAAATTATGATAATTTTTTAGAACTATTGATTATATTAAATATGTATCAAATCAAAGCTTTTAAAAATAACCTAATGATTAAAAAAAAAATCTCTTAATGCTATGAAATTTTTTTACTAAGAAGTAACAAACGTATGTAGGAGGCTCAACTCAAAAAAAATAAATCTTCAAAAAAAAAATCTACTATAATATCTTTGAGCACATTCCTTTTCAAGCTTTTTGTGATAGTAATATTAACCACTGTTAAATTTTAAACAATATCGTTTCGATTGTCCATGATCCATGCTGTACTGTCTTTTTTTTTATAGGGATTAATATATCCAGCATTAGCAGTAATTACATTTGATCAAGTTATCAGTTATTTGTCATCCACCAATTTACCACATGCACAAGTTAAATTCCAAAATTGCATGTCTAATTTAAACATAAATGATTTTGAACAAATAAATAATGGTAAGACATTACAAAAACTTTGAAATTCTTATGTACTAAAAATAATTCAATATACGTTGTTCATCAAATTTGTAAATAAAGCTTATTTTTTTTAATTGTCAATAATATCAATTGAGCCACTATATTTTTACAAAAAAAAAAAAATTACAAATAATCCTAAAATTCATTTCAAAGCCTTAATAAAAGCCTAATACAAATGCCAAATATCTTTGCAACATTATAACCTAATTAGTTTTGTAAAATATGTCAATTATTCTAATAAATATAGTAAAAAATTGGAAGCATCATGAAAATAGTACTCTAGTATTGTTATATTAAAAAAAACTAACCATAATTATTATATAAATGTGTTAATTTTACTTGAATAAATTTATGAATAATTATAATAATTTTTTATTAAAAAAAATATCATTTAGCCACCAAGTACTCTTTTTCTATATTATCGAATGACATTGTTTTATGATCAACTAAATTCTTCTGCCAAAATAAAAATAAACGAAAAAAGTCAATTTATTTAGCATCACTTTTATTTTTATGTAATTTTTGTATTTTATAGTTGCATTTATTTATTTTAAATAGTATTTTTGTGAACTGCCTTTTTGCTGCCTAATTGTAATTGTGTAATTTAATAGTATATAATATATACTATATATTAATCGTGAGAACGGAAGTCCCTTTGTCTTGTGTATAAAGAATCAACTAGGCAAGTATCTAGTCCTTCTAGAACATTCGATGCTGAGTCTATTTTAATGCATTTTGCTATTATAGTATTGATTATTATTTCGTTTGAGTCATAAAGTCAATTATAAGTGTAAATATATGTATAAATATAATAAATAGCAATTAATATTTATACGCATTATCTCTTCATTTTGTCTACCGTACCAATCCAGTCACAACATTATTAATTTTTAAATGCATTATTCAGATGTATAATTTATTTATCAATATTAATTTGTAATTTTACAGACGAAATTAATACATTTTTAAATACATTGAGTGATAATATCATTTCCCGTCGAATTTATCCAGAAGAAATGAGTCAAGAATTTATTGAATTTTTTAAATTAGATAAATTTATTATTAAAGATAAGTTAAATGAATGTTTTAAAATATTCCAGTCAAATTTGTTTGCAATAAAAAAACCCAAGGTACAAAATAAAATTTTAATATTTATAATATTTAAATGTTTTTAGGTATTTCTAACAATTCAAAAAAAAAAAATTACATTTTAGAAATTCATTATCTTGCAAATTGACAAGAATATAAATGTATACTTCATATTATTTCATCAAGATATTTTTACATAAATAATTATTAAAGTAAAAATATCTAGTTAATTATAATTAAAAAAAACATTTTGTGATTTTTTTTCTGAATCATAAAATTATATTATTTATCAATATAAAATTATAAGTCCATTTTAACTTAACTGTAATTCATTTAAATTTGTTATTATTCCAAAAGATTTCGCTAAATTAAAATATAAAAATATGACAACTATAAAGAAATTTATTTTATATTGATTCGCTAATACATCTTTTTTGTTATATTATTAAATTTACATTAATTTTATAAGCAAAAAAAGCGTAGTAAAGATTTAAGGTTTACAATTTTACTCACATACCCTTAGGAATTTAATATTATCAGTTTTTTCATTCATACCACATATTCATCAAATTACGATATAAATATTTACATTGTATTGGTCTTTTTAATATGTCTTCTTAATTATA